ATCGGAGAGTCTGGTGAAGCTGATCGTACAGGTGAGTGCGAGCCCCGCTCATCAGGTGTGTGAGAGCTGGAGGATGTGCTTCTACCATCTTATCGATATTTTATCATACCTCTGTTGCTGATCAGCACTTATTACCTTGATCAGTGGTCTATGTGCATTTACAGCTACATAAAGTTATGCGATGTCTTCTGCAGCTCATCTGTTAGATGGATGAGAAAGCTGCAAAGATGGCTGCTGCACATCCTCTGTATGAATACTGCAGTGAGGGAGTGTACATGTAGAGATGAGGATCACTGTGTGATGCCTCTAGTACATGGAAAGAAGAGCAATCTGCTCCATTGGAAGCTCATCTGTAATGACACACGCAGTGCAAAGCTGGGTTTTGTAACGGGAAAGCAATTATTATTTTATTGTTTCTGCTGCATGAAAGCCAAAATTCCGCAGGCATGGCTGCAATGCTCCTTATTTCATAGACGTCACTTTACCAAACGGTGATGGTGTACTGGTATTAAAGAATCAGAAGTAGGCCATTCGACAGGTTTATGTTACATTCTTGCTGACCATGTTTTTTCTTCCTCCCTCCTTCCATTATGCCTGCAGTTCTATTTATCACATCAGCCTCAGCAAGGAGAGACATCGATTTCCCATCTGGTGTTAATTGCATTTCATTAACTCTTTGAAATCTTCCCTTTTTAATGTTGCTGCAGATTCTATTATTTCATTACTTTGGCACTAAATAATTAGATGTGTTTTTTTTTTTTTTTTTGTATAATCTTTATTTTGCAGTTTTCAAATTAGTTTATTTCACAAAGGAACATGTAACGGACATAAATGGGTCAAACGTAGACCCTGATAAATAATACGACATACGTAACCACATAATAAACGGGCGCCCAGCTACATCCTACAGGCTCTGCTCACTGTTTTTTATTATAGTCTTCTGGTTGTTATATTGATCTTGAATATTGTCAGAGTATATCTGATAAAACCACTTTGCATCTGCCACTGTTTTAGCGTTCACATAATCAGTGTGATCGCCCCCCTCTCCCCCAGACCTTAATAATTGGAGTGGTAAAGGATGACATGAATCAGACCTTTTCATTGATCTTAAAATGCATTTCTAGTGTCTCATAGACTACCCATGGTACCAGGAGAGGATACATCATAGGTATTGTCCATCATGACCTGTGTAGAACACAAATGTGGATGTTTGCATTAAATGGGCCTAATTATTTACAGAGTCAGTCCACCCAAAACTGCTATTGGGTTATAAGTAGATCCTGATGGGATGAGACAACCCCTGGCTTCTTGTATGGCTTTAAATAAATAATACTAGCAAGATCTCCAAGCCATAATTCTGACATCCTGTGAATTCTGGGTATCCTACTCGCCTTTGTGTATTTTGGAATCTCCTATTTCATTTAATTTACTTTTATATTATGGAAATAATTCAACAGGGAGAGTGTGGACCCCTCATAATGTCCACAGTAGGAGAGGAGCTCAAGTGCAGGGATCTCATTAAGGAGCCACTTACAGATACAGTGAGGAAAATAAATAATGATTTGATCCCCTGCAGATTTTGTAAGTTTGCCCGCTTACAAAGAAATTAAAGGTCTATAATTTTTATCATAGGTGTATTTTAAATGATAGAGACAGACTATCAACCAAAAACACACGTGATACAAATGTTATAAATGGAGTTGCAGTTCAGTTAGTAAAATAAGTATTTGATCCCCTACCAACCAACAATAATTCTGGCTCCCACAGACTGGCTATGTGGTACACAGATTAGTCCTGTCAATTTAAGAAGGTGCTCCTAACGACAACTCATTGGGTATATAAAAGACACCTGTCCACAGAATCTCTTTCTTCCATTCAAACCTGCCCACCATGGGCAAGACCAAGGAGCTGTCAAAGGACATTAGGGACAAGATTGTAGACCTGCACAAGGCTGGAATGGGCTACAAGGCTATCAACAAGAAGCTTGGTGAGAAGGAAACAACTGTTGGAGCGATTATTCACAAATAGAAGGAATACAAAATACCCATCAATCGCCCTCGGTCTGGAGCTCCATGCAACATTTCGCCTCATAGGGTAAGAATGATCATGAGAAAAGTGAGGGATCAGCCCAGAACTACATGGGAGGAGCTTGTGAATGATCTCAAGGCAGTTGGGACCACAGTCATCAAACAAACCATTGGTAACACAATACACCGCCATGGATTGAGATCTTGCAGCGCCCGCAAGGTCCCCCTCAAGAAGGCGCATGTACAGGCCCGTCTGAAGTTTGCCAATGAACATCTAAATGATTCAGAGAAAGCTTGGGAGAAAGTGCTGTGGTCAGATGAGACCAAAATTGAGCTCTTTGGCATTAACTTGACTCGCCATGTTTGGAGGAAGAAAAATGCTGACTATGACCCTAAGAACATCATCACTACAGTCAAGCACAGAGGTGGAAACATTATGCTTTGGGGCTGTTTCTCTGCCAAAGGTACAGGCCATGTATTGTAAAATCTTGGATGAGAACCTCCTTCCCTCAGCCAGAGCACTGAAGATGAGTCATGGATGGGTCTTTCAGCATGACAATGACCCAAAACCTACTGCCAAGGCAACAAAGCAGTGGCTCAAGAACAAGCACATGAAGGTCATGGAGCAGCCTTGCCAGTTTTCAGACCTTTAATCCTATAGAAAATGTATGGAGGGAGCTGAAACTCCGAGTTGCCAAGCGACAGCCAAGAATCCTTAAGGATTTAGAGAAGATCTGTAAAGCAGAGTGGACCAAAATCCCTCCTGAGATGTGTGCAAACCTGGTAACCAACTACAAGAAACGTCATACCTCTGTGCTTGCCAACAACGGTTTCTCTACCAAGTACTAAGTCATGTTTTGCTTGGGGGATCAAATACTTATTTTACTCACTGAACTACAACTCAATTTATAACATTTGTATCAAGTGTTTTTTTTTTTCTGGATTTTTGGTTGATATTCTGTCTATCATTTAAAATTACACCTATGATAAAAAATTATAGACCTTTCATTTCTTTGTAAGTGGGCAAACGTACAAAATCGTATATATGAAAACCCCTCATAATGTCCATAGTAGGAGTGGAGCCCCAGGAACTCGACGGCGGGGATCTCATCAAGGAGCCAACTACAGATATATAAAACGGGTGGTCCCACCACCACCACCATTTGTCAAAAACAGCACATTCTGTTTTGGGTGGACTCTTAACAGTATGGTAGACTTTTTAGATGAAGGACACAGTATGGTGTTGGTTGGCTGTGCAGCCTGAGACAGGCCTAATCAACCCCCCCCCCATGTAATGACCTTGAATTGTCCTTTATCAACACCAGCCTAAGGGCCCATTCACACCACATCCAGATTGTTTCCAGACACAAAATGCATCCTAATGTATCCCTGTGCTGTTGCTGGCCTCTGTTCACACCAGCGCAGTCTGTTCCGGACCAGAAAAATACTGCAGGTCCCATTTTGTCTGGAATGCATGAAAACTCATTGAAACACATGCAAATGAACTGGACCGCATCTAAAAGCCAATTTTAAGCTTAAACCGCTCTGCAATATTGCAGTAAAAAATGCAGCAAAATGCAATGCACCATGTTCTAGATCTGGTCCGGAAAATGGTGTGAACCTGGCCTAAGGACCGATCAGAGTGTCTTTGCTGAAGGAACAGAAGGCTGACTTGTTTCTAATAGGGAACAAAGGGAAGTACATTGCTCTTTCTAACCCAGTTGTATTTTAGCTGGCTTCTAGGTGGAAAAAAATCAAGCAGAAATCTCCCTGGCTGCCACGGTCAGACCCTTCCCCTTCCTTATTTCCCAAACTGGCCTGTTCTTAGGGATTCCCTCAGAGTTTGTTTTTTGCAGATTGCTTATTTCCGCTACAAAGCCTTCTTGTTTTGGTTGCCATGGTAGCATGGTATCCGTCAGCAGAGGCTGCCACAATACTCAGATGGTGCCCCTACCCAGAATGCCACAGGGATTCATTATATCAGAGTATGTAACAAGCATCTGTTGAAGAGTGAAGTCTAATACCTATAGAATTTACAGTTTATATTTATGCTAATTGTGTCAAACTGACCACATAAGTGGCATAGGATTGGTTTCTATCCAAGCAGCCCATTTGTTTTACTGGCTGGTGTTTCTAGGAGACTTGGAGGATCCTGTCTGGCATTATCACAAAGAGCTTTGTTGGAAGTTAATCTCTTTACCCATCTCTAAGGCTTCTATCCTTGGACAGCCAAAGGATATTAACTTTGATTAAAGGAAAGTAGTCTCTCAAGGTGTTTGCAGAAACCCAAATGAGATGACAGTTTGGTAACCCCTTAGCTTCAGATGATATTATTGTTATTAATATTACTTTCCCTAACGTTTAATGTCCAAAATTAGTTTAAAAAAAAAAAAATTCTAAAACCATACACAACAAAACATCCACAAGGGGGTATATCACAGTTCTAGCCCAAGGTTGTTGATGTACATACCATGTCATATAATGATGCGTAAAGGGGACAACAGCCTACCCAGAGAATAGGAGCTCCAAGCCAAATAATGATAAGAGTACAGCATCGTAATGGAAGAAATACAATTTTGTATCGCTATAATCTATAGAGGGTTACACTGCTTTCCGAACCATTAGAACAGTCTAATAGGGGGAAGCGAAGAGCACCTGAAGTTATAATACAGGCAACCATTGGTATGATGCGCATTAAAAGCAAGTTTAGCGTGGGCTAGGTAACATAAGACCTACAGGACAAAAGACTAATGTGAGGGGTAAGAGGTGAGACAGAGGTATAAATGGAGGGCGGGGGGGGAGGGAAAGAAGGTAGGCACTTGACAACATTTAGTTGGCCGAATAACTGTATCATTTTGTCATTTAAAAAAATAAATATATATTTCATAAAGTACTATTTTGTCATCGTCCCCCCCACCTTTTTATATAACAGAAGAAAAAAAACAACAAAAGTATTTTGCTTTGATTCTTTTCTCCAGAAAAATTCCAAAATGGCCCACCAATATCCAGCATTGAGTACGGAGCAGAAGAAGGAGTTGTCTGACATTGCTCAGCAGATTGTAGCCGAAGGAAAGGGTATCCTGGCTGCTGATGAGTCTGTGGGTGAGTGATGGGGAGACGGACTAAGTTAAAAGTGGGGCTATTTCTGTGAAATATGTATTAAATGACCTCCTGCAGATTACTGCTGCAGTACATCATTTATTGAGAATGTAGTTCATCTTTAATATTTCCTCTCAAAAAAACATGATCCTTGGTACTTTTATTATGTCCTTTTTGTATGTAGTTTTGTGTAACTTAAATTATGTAGATGTGAGAAGGAGATTGCTAGGTAAACCGGGAAATGCCATAGTAACTGTATATAGTAAAAATTGGATTGCCAATAAACGCATCACATACTGCATTGTTTTAGGACCTTTCACTCTACGATGGGGTAATATAGTTGTAACCACCTATGCAAGTAATGTTGTACTTGCATGAAGTATTAGGGTCAGTGCCCAGTGCCAAATGGTTTTTGTTTGCAATACAAACAGTGCCAGGACGAGTTCCTTCAGCATTCAAGTCCAAAAGATCAAAGTGTGTCCCCCTGGAGGACACTGGCCCTAACATGCACCTAACCTAACACTATGCAGGATTTAGTGGTGACCTTTACCCAGAATGCATATATTTATTTTTTTTAAAGTTCCTATTTGGCATAAAAAGTGATCCTTATCAGAGCGATTTTCTTTTAGTTGGCATTTTATGTACCACAACCTGTCAAAACTGATATTAACATTGTGTTTGCCTCTGCTATCGAAGACCATTCTAAGTGGTGACTTTTATCGAAATGTCTTCTCTTAGGAAGTATGGCCAAGCGTTTTAGCGGCATTGGTGTGGAGAACACCGAGGAGAATAGGCGCCTGTACCGCCAGCTTCTCTTCAAAGGCGATGATCGTATGCAAAATTGTATTGGCGGTGTCATCTTCTTCCATGAGACCATGTACCAGCAGGGGGACTGTGGCACCAACTTTGTCAAAATGATTAAGGATAAAGGCATTCTTGTAGGAATTAAGGTAAGAAGGCGTTTGGAAGTGTACATCTCTCCGCATTGTGTTCAGTACACAAATCAGGAAAAGCCCCCCCGCTTTTTTTTTTTTTTCTTCCCACATGGAAAAAATGGAATGCTATGAACCAGCTGCAGTATAGTCAATGACTTTTACCCATTCTTCAGACACATTCCCTAAGTTTGTTCTTACAGTGACCTGTAGCCATGCTTATAGACATTCAAGTAGTAAATGAGCTTTAAACAAGCTTTTCTTGATCTGAGGATGAATTGCTCCACAGTGCCTGCAGCTACAGTTCACAGCAGATCCACTATAGTCATTGTCTTAGGCAGTTCAGCTCATATTGATTCCTCCTCCTAGAGCAGCATTGGTGAAGAGATGGAGTGTTCGGAACACTCAGTGGGTCCTGGGTTCGTGCTGGCAAGGGAGGAGTTTTTGTTTCCTATTCGCACACCTGTTGGACACCACGGTCTGAACACCACGGAAGCTGCACACGCACAGAGCAATATAAGACGCTTCTATTGGTCTACAAAGGGGTAAACAAAAAAAAACCCCTCCCCTCAACTTTCCACACAGAAAATCTCCCCAAACTCCAGTCACATATGGGGTACCCACCAAGTACCGCAACTCACCCCGCCTCTGACGAGCGCCACACATGGGGTAAAACTCTTTGCACTTTTAAATATAGTTATATGGCAGTTCAGGGCAATATAACAGTCTATTAATATCCCCCACCCCAGCAAGGTAAATGCGCTGATCCACGCCCACCCCTTTGTTGCAGGATTTTGCCCTGGGTAAGCTCCAGTGTGGGAGCTTACCTGTGTGGATGTCCTCACTTGAGCATAGTGACATAGTTACTATACATTCTTAAATTCTGTTTTAATGAAACCGGGTAAATCCCTGTTAAGACTAAGACCGAAGCCTTTTCTATTCGGAGCTCCAGATGGTACATGCACTTTATCGCCATAACATTCAATGCAGAACCTGTATTACTGTATGTGGGGATGGTGAGGGCCTGCCCACAAAGCATCAGAGAGAAGAGGTGGCCAGGGGAGCAAGGAATAAGGCAAGTATTACAGCTTATTCCTCTACCTCTGTATTTTTCTTGAAGACTTTTCACTGGTCATCCGACCAGCTTTCTCAATTCTGAATTGAGAAAGCTAATCGGATGAACAGCGAAACGTCTTCACAAAAGTCCAGTTGCCTTGATTTATTTTTTTACAGATCCACAAATGTACTGGTAATTTATTTGCTTTAATCTCAAACTGGCCACATTGTGATAGACTGTAATCCAATCTAGGGACTGATGTGAGTGATTTAATAATCCTGTAAAATAAACTTTGTTCGTTTTGTGTCACAAAATGACTATCAGTTCATTTACTAATGTGCTGACATTCCATTGCTAAGAATGAGCAGTGCAGCTCTTGTTCTGGGGATGCTGGAATTTCAAGGTCAGGGAAAGTACGGGTGATCTTGGCTCTTCCATTCATTTAGTTCCTATTATTAGAACTTTTAGCAGGAGAGGCCAAGATAACGTGGAGATCTGCTTTATATCCACCCATGCTGGGAATAATGTACATCACAGGCTTGTTCAAAGTGAGTAACTTCACATCCAGTTAGAAGTTCTCCTACTGATCTGGCTTGAGCACACTCAAATACAAAAGGTCAATGTGGGTTATTGTACTTTTTGTATATTATCATGGCCTATTTTATTGAATGGAAATAGAGCCTTGGTACAGCCTGTAATGGTTTCTTATGTGTTGTTTCTGGCAGGTGGATAAAGGGGTTGTTCCCCTCGCTGGTACTGATGGTGAAACCACAACTCAAGGTATGTAATTGGAGTCCAGAAGTTATGCCATTCAGGGGATAACATTTTTAAGGGAACGTATAGGTTAAGTGACGGGAAACAATACCGGCGCCTCCACGTGCAATATCGGCCAGTTGAAATGGTAACGAACACACTAAAGAGGCAGCTCCCACAGGTCAAAGGACCTTCAATCTGAGAGACAAAAATCAAATAGGAGCGCCTCCATAGTGTAAAACTAATTTTAATGATAAAAACGCACAACTGTATTGTACTTAAAAGTCGGTAGTAAAAAGGCATGTAGAAAACAATGGGATGTCAAATCGTCTAGCAGCGGAAGTCTGAAAAGATGTGCAGAACCTGCATAGCCTGAGGAAGGGGGCGGAGGAAGAATGCATCTCGCATCCCCCCCCCCCTTACCATTAATGTCTGCCAAAAGGTCAGTTGCAGGAATTGCTTTGTATTACATTGCATTGTCATAATGTAGCCACTCCTGTGTAAAAATGATACTTGCAGACAGTCTGAATATGTAGGGATTGTACCAATTCTGTTTTACATCCAGCTGCTCCCTACTAAGCCTCCATCCTGTCTGCATCTGAGCACGGACACTTGGACCCACACGGATGTGCAGTTCGGGTGTGCTTATGGCGGCGTACGATCCGCGTCCTCCCATAGGGAAGAACAGGCTGCTGCGTACAATCACACGGAGCACCTGTCCTTCCTGGGAATGGCCCGATACGGTCGTGCACGGATACGTACAGCCCGACTTTACGCTGTGTGAATGAGGGCTTGTTCACACGATTTTCCGGTCCGGATCTGCAGGTGCGGTGTTCTGCATGCAGTGCTTTTTTGATGTGTTTTTACTGCGGTCCGGACGCTGGAATACAGTTGTTTACATAACCAGCATACAGTTAGTCTACATAGATATGTGTAATCACTCACCACCTTGATTCTTCTGGACACTATGTGAATTCAGCATACAGCTCTGATGCTATTTTCTCTGCAGTTTAGATTTTTTTTTTTATGCACATTTTTGAATTGTAGATGACGAGGTTCGTATAGCATTGGTGCACGCTCCATCAATCTGACAAATCTTTCTATGTCCAGGACCATGTTGTTGTTGTTCATGCCTACTGGTTTTCCCTCTACTGCTCCACCACAACCAGGAAGTCCAACGATGATGACATCATGAAAAGTGTAGCAAGAATACTTTTTATTTTTTGCTTAGCTGCGGTGTGGCGCATTTTCGTTGCGTTTTTGACACGGTCGTGCGTGACCGGACAAAATGTGACATGCAGTATATTTTCTGAATGGACTGCGCACGTGAGAACTGTAGCCCATAAAACACATAGGGATGCATTTTTAGTGCAGGAGCGCACTGATCTGGTCAGAACAGATTCCGGACGTCGTGTGAACAAGCCCTTAAAGCTGAACTCCAGGCAAACGGCTAAATACACCTATAAGAGCTGTTTTACCTGTCAAAGGTTTGAGGTTTCTGCCCATCCGTTCCAGAGACTTGAGCGGCATTGCTACACAGTCCTGGCTGGCAGGGAAGGGGGCCTGATCTTTCTCTGCTGCCGTTTCACTTACAGGTCTCATCACCTTCACACTGTTATCGGACATTGTAAAGAGAAGGGGGACACCAATGAGTTCATCTTTGTCACTCTGCACTCTTCTTACACATACTCTTTGCACACCTGATTGTGCTGCTTCTCTCGCCTCCATTTTCTCTCATACAGTAGATAGTTGGCTAATGCCAAGTCAAATTCAAATTCAGGTACTTGCCCTGTTTTCAGTGGAAACATATTTTTTAATTTACCAATGAATAATGCATACAGATCCACACTGATGTATTATGACATGCATATTCATTTGTGTATGTTCCATCTGCCCTTTAGTTTGGCTTTTAAATGTTGCTATATATAAGTCAAAGGGGTTGGTAGTTAACTTCCCATTAGCTTTCACCGGGATGTTTGGCATTTAGGATCAGACTTTGGTGTGAACCTTGCTGTTGATGAAGTGGAGCTGAATTCTGTTTTTTTGTGGTGGGTGATCAGAGGCCTAGCATGCAGTGCCCCCCCCTTGTAGGTGCAGCAGACGGATCCGTTAAGTAAACCCGGTCTTCCATGTTTTTGTTTTTCTAGGTTTGGATGGATTGTCAGAACGTTGTGCTCAATACAAGAAGGATGGTGCTGACTTTGCAAAGTGGAGAAGTGTACTGAAAATTAGTGAGCACACCCCCTCTTCCCTGTCCATCATGGAAAATGCCAATGTCCTTGCTCGCTATGCAAGCATTTGTCAGCAGGTGAATGGTCTATTGTGTACAGCATCACAGAATACAGGATGGTATTGTTAATGACAGAAGGTACCAGTTTAACCTGTCCTAACTGTAGATCTATTTCTTATCCGCTTACAGAATGGTATTGTCCCCATTGTGGAGCCAGAGATTCTTCCTGATGGAGATCATGACCTGAAACGCTGCCAGTATGTCACTGAGAAGGTATGTACACTCTGACCTGCCAGCTGGATTAAACATTGCCAGGGAACTAAATCTGACATTTATTACAATGGATAGACTTCTGTCCTCAATTGTCTGTATGCTTTGATCAAATACTGTGTGTAAAGTAATGACCAAGGCGATCTTTGCAACATGAGGATTCAGTCTGCAGTGTGTATAGGTGCAAAAGCCTGACCTTTTTCATATGTATACCTTTTGCATAATTGACAGTGTCGTGTGTAAAATTAGAGTACGTTAACCTTCAGGGCTACAGTCCTTTTGTCCCTCACATTACATAATGGTTTTCTTTTTTATTGAGGTAAAAACTCCTATGCACACTAAATACATGATGATGATGATGATGATCCTGCCAGTCCTTCTGATAAAGAAGCATTTCCTGTCTGGTTTTTGACGAAGCACAGAAGCAGAGCTAGTGTGGAGTGTTTTGTGTCCCTGCTTCCTCCTTGAGACCTACAGGATGCTGCGCCAACACAGGCGTGTCTATTCCCAAAGTCAGATTGTTACTGATATGCCCCCGCCAGCCCTGCTTGGCTTAAATGCCACAGGTCTCCATGGAGCCAAAGAGCCTCTGTGATGTCAACAGAAGGCACCCAGCTTTGTTTATAGTCATCACACCCCCAGCGCTTGGAGCCTGGGGAAGAAGTGACCACTGCTAAGACTTTACACATACTTTAAATTAGTTCAAAATAAGTGTATAATTTCACAATTGAATCTAAGCTGTACATGTGCTCCCTTTTAGGTTCTAGCTGCTGTCTACAAGGCCCTAAGCGACCATCATGTGTATCTGGAGGGCACACTATTGAAACCAAACATGGTAACTGCTGGTCATGCCTGCCCCAAAAAATACACTTCTGAGGAGATTGCCATGGCAACTGTGACCGCACTTCGCCGCACTGTGCCCCCTGCTGTCCCAGGTAAAATCAAAGCCTTTTATTTATTTTTTTGGTGCCACTGGGGCTTTGTCAATTTAAAGTAGAACTATGGCCTCCCATTAACAAAATGCTGCAGCACTTAATTGTAAGTGCATCTGCCTATGCCATTTTCTTAGTCTTTCTGCAAAGTCACACCTGATGCAGTTTCCTGTGGTGGGGGGACCATGTTGGTGAATTCATAGCCGCATTGTCCCTCTGGCTGCTTGACATACAGTGGAATGTGAAGATGTTTCATGGGGTGCGTTAGCATTGGCAGTGTTGATGCACAAGCCTGTCAATCAGCAGCTGGCCTAACCTAGTCCTGCCCTCTGCTTTCTGGCTTGGCAGAACTGACTTGACTGTGGTGCTGAAACCCTCCCACTGTGAGCTGCATTGTCTGGGAGGGCGTTTTTGAATCCAAAATGAACAAGGATTTGGCTGACTTGAGAGGTTCCCTTTCTCTTCCCACGGACTGGAGGAACGGATGAGGGAAGGGGCGGGTACAGCTGGCTCTGCCTCTAGATAGGCAGAGCCTGCTGTCGTGCAGCTGGGTGGATCTCGACTGTAATGCCGGGATCCTTCCCGGCTGCGGCAGCCTCCCGTATACTGCGGGCTGTAGCTTGCGATATACTGAGCTTTGGGTCACGTGAGGATGCTAGTATATGTCCTCCCGTGACCCTTTTTTAACTTGTAATTGACAAAAGAGCCTGCCTGTACACAGCCTACATAAACTCAAAGCACAAGACCAAGCAAACTTGATTTGAGATGTCGGGACAAATGTAAAACTCAATTTGAATGTAGTAGATGAGGTGGGAGACCAATTCTAAATATAACCTAGAAACTTGACAAGAAAATGTACTGATTACTACAAAATCTAATGCTGTTCATGCGACTTTTACTCTAAAGGTGTCACTTTCCTGTCTGGTGGACAAAGTGAGGAAGAAGCCACTATTAATCTGAATGCAATTAACAACTGTTATCTATCAAGGCCTTGGGCTCTCACTTTCTCCTATGGACGTGCTCTCCAGGCCTCAGCACTGAATGCTTGGCGTGGCAAGAATGCGAATGAGAATGCGGCTACAGAGGCGTTCTTGACGCGTGCAGAGGTAATGTCTTCTGTAGGCCTAAAGTTTCTTCGATGACATTGCACGTAAATGTCAAAAGTTTGGGCTCACACGAGATCCAATATACGGTATTTGTAAAAGTTGGATAAGGTTTTAAAAAATCTTCAGTATACAAAAAAAAAAAGCAAACTTATCCACATTTAAAAAGCTATCAGTCCATCCTTCTAACAAACACTTGTTATTGGGGCCTGACATTCTGTTCTGACTTTATGCTCCACCAACTGCTATCCCTCTATCCAATGTGTGCCCCTTTTGTCCACTAAGGGAGTCTCGGATGGTGTAATGGCAATTGAAGGCATAGCCATGAATTCAGGGAAGTTTTTGGCCCCAGTAACAAGTAAAGCAATATCACAAAGGGGCTCAGAAGAGGTGGTTGAGGTTAATCAATGTATTTGAAGGCACTTGAGTGGTGCTGGGGGAACAGATCTTGCAAGAAAAGGGGTATATACTGACCTTTCACATAGACGGATTTACACACAAAATATATATATATATATAATTTCTCCTATGTTGTATATTATGTAAGTTCTACTTTTCAAATACAAAATAAACCCTCTCCCTCTTTCCCCCCCCCCAGCATGGCAAAGTACTGTATATGCATTAACCTTTTCAGTGATCAGTTGATATGGAACCAGTCCCCTCAGTGATCTGTCTGTGGTATATGTAATCTGCTTCAAGAGTGTGCGCATTGACCCCCTCAGTGACTTGTTTCTAGCATTAAGCCCTAGCTCAGGTGTGCTAACCCCTCAGAGCCCATTCCTCTGCATATGTAATAACCCCCTCAACACCCAGTCCTCAGCCCATGCGTATTCTCTCCTCAGTCCTCTGTTTCCAGGCATATGTATATTAAACTCGGCACCCAGTATTTAGCTCCTGTCGGTTAACATCTCAGCACTTGGTACCATATGTTAGTACTTCAACCTCTCAGCACCAGTTCCTCTGCATATGTGCATTCATTTCTCAGCAGCCAGTCTCCAGCACATATGTAATAACCCCTCTGTGCCTTGTGCATACAAATTAACCCTTCAGCACATGTTCAATCTTTTAGATTCAGTGCACCACACCAAATATCAGTCTCCCCTCAACTGGCTCTGGTCCAATTGTAATCTCCGATCCACAGCCCTATTTTCTTTTTAAAGTGATCCCCAACAAAGCCCTGCACCATTGTCCAATGTCCCCAGCACTGCCTGTACTTTTCTGGACTTCAGTCTCTGCTAATTTAAACTGTCCCATCCCATGTAAACATCCATTGTTCCCAATTCCACTGATACAGTACTCCTATTGCAGTGTCCTCCCGACTACCTTTTTAAAGTCTGCGGTGCTGTTGACTTGATCCCCCTGTACTTCCACTGTCCCAGAATAACTAACCTGTTTTCCAAATGCTGATAACTTCTATTCCTCCCTTGTAAAACCCTGTAAAGAGTCTGGTTCCCATGCTGCTGCTTTTCTCCTCCCCTGGCTTCCACGTATATGGCTATGACCATAATTTGTCATTTCCTCCTTACTATTCTCCTGCACATACTGCCCACTGGTATTCTCGCCTTACTCCTTTTCCCTGCACATACTGCCCACTGTTAAACTCTGCACTCCTCTCCTGCACTACTGCCAGTTGTCATTCCCTCCAGCAGATGCAATCTGCTGTTATTCCCTCCTTCCTACTCTCCTGCACATACTGCCCATTGTTGCTCTCTCCTTACTTCTCTCCTGCACATACTGTCTGCTGTCATACTTCTCTGCGCTCCTTTCCTACATAAACTACCCACTAAGGCAGGGGTCAAAATTTCAAGTCCTGAGTTACTAGCCAGGCCTTAGAGTTACTCGCCACCAGTTGCCCTCCTAACCCCTACCCTGCTCCAGCCTTAACTCCGCCCCCTAAACACACCCTCTTAAATAATCTTATAAATTACACTGTTAGATGTTTTATGCAAAATAAAGTTACAAAAATAAATATTAACACATTTTCGATCCAGAGCTCAGTGAAGAGCTGCGGCTGACAGAACAGAGAGCCCATCAGGAGCAGCTGCTCCCGCGAGTCAGGTACTGACTCAAGCCTGACTGAATTTCCACTCGCCTGCACTGCATTTTCACTCGCCAAATGCGAGCAGGCGTGTGGAAATTTTGAGCCCTGCACTAAGGTGTGTGTGTGTCCCATCATGCTCACTTACTGTACTGCTATGTAGGAGCAGCATTGTCGCCCTAGGCTGTTTTCGCCTGTTTTGTTCACCAAAACAATTTAAATGACATATTTAACAGACCAAAATGGCACAAATGACATTATATAGACATTATTTATATGCTTTAACTGGGATCATGCTTGCATAAATACCAAATATAATTGTGTGTGTATATAATACTATATAATTTCTATTTTCTAGGCAAATGGTCTAGCAGCCTGTGGCAAATATGAGCACAGCAGTGATGGATCTGGGGCGGCTGGCCAGTCCCTGTACGTTGCCAATCATGCCTACTAACCTTGGTGGTCATATGAGCACTGACCTGCAGAACGCCTCCACTCTGCTTCCCTTGTTCTTATAGCAGCATTCACGTGGACATCCCCGCCAGCCAAAGCTTGGAATAACCACAACCATTTGCCTCCCAGCCTCTCCCCGTGATGTTACACTGACAGTATAAGCCTATCTAGGCTTGTGCTGTGGTGGATCTTTAGGGGGTCCAGCTCTTGTCTTGCAGTGTAATGTATTTGGTTGTCTTTAACTATTTTCCTACTAGATCTTTTATTTTTTGAGGTCTCCCTTTTACAGGTCTAAAGAGAGCGAGAGAAATTAAGGTAAAGCCATCAGAAATAGTATCCTATTTTAATAATTTACAAGCGGGTAAGAGTAACCTCTGCTGGACAGGAGAAGGATAGATGTTTATGTAACAGATGACTTTTCACTGATCTAGTATACTGGAAATAATTCCCCTGCACAATTCGGGCACTATTGAACCCTTGGTAGTGTCTTTCTTAGAACAATCGATCCAGTAACACATCCACTCATCCAGGCACTGTTCTGTGAAAGGTCTTGCACTTTGTGGTACATCCATAGATTGCGTGGTTGTGCGCTAACTATAACTCTGGGAAGTAGATCCATCCTTTTATGTGCATTGGATGGTGTTCAACTACAGAAACCCTTAACACTAAAGGATAACTTACTGCTGTGTATATTGTGAAATAGTGTTGTTGTCTTTATCTGTCTGCAACTGATGTACCAAATAGATAAAAAAATAAAATAAACTAGTGAAAGGAAATGCAGTTTGTCTTTGTTTCTTTTAAATAAGCCATAAAATGTACCGGCATTTCTCCACCACATCCTGTTGGCTTAATTTGGCGACTTTATGATTTGTAATGGGAGACTAAACCATAGACCCGTTGGACTCCACTGGCTCTGTGCTACAGAGGAATTGCAAAAGTACAACTTTTTAAATTCATCTTTCTGCTTATATTCTGCAGTCTCTACCTGCACTTCCCCTTGACTATATTGCAAGGGGAAATGGGGGAATAAACAAACAAAAAATATACATGTGCTACAGTTTATAAAGTGCATAAAGCAACTTGGTTAAACCAAATCCTATAACAATATCCAACGTCTCTTCCATCAGACTCCTCCCAAAATAAAGTGCATATATCTATTTAAAAGTATTAAAGTGCAAAAGCCTGCTAATGACATCACTGGACCAAAAAAAAGAGTATGCTATGAAAACAAATTTGTGGCTTTATACCAGTTCCTGGGGTCCCTAAGGCACTGGTGACATACTGTAGCCCTGGCCTCACGGGTACCTCTTGGGAAGGCCACGTCACCAGTGCCTTCCAGGGATAACGCGCCAGATTTTGCACATGTATGAGTTCTGAGACTGCCCCAAATCTTGCATGGTGCATGCGCTGTACATGGTAGGGTGGCTTGTTATTGATTGCATATTTACTAACAGGCTGTTGCAAATCACGTACAGCGCATGCACCCTATGAGATCTGGCATCACCTGATGTGCATACGCAACATGGATCTGGCGCATGTGCCTTACATGAACCTTCATGGTGAATAACATGCTGCCCCCAATTGCATATGGCACATGTGCCAGATCACCTGTGGTGCATGCATGGCTTGTTATCTTCAATCACCAGTAACTTCAAGAAAAATCTTGCGTATGTGCTAGGAGACCTGGTGTGGATTTATTATCCTCAATCACGTAAAGTGTGTATAATATATATGTTCCTATTTGGGAAGTTTTGTTTTCCTAAATAAAAATCTATATCTTGAGCAGTTTATGGGGGGGGGGTTCCACTTTAAATCATATTGACCACGCAATAAAAAAAAAAAATGTGAATATTAAACTACGTTATTGTTGGAACTCTTTTATGTGAAAGCTGAACTCCAGCCTCGCCTTGCACAGTTGGACAGGATCCTCTCCTGAACTAAAATTGATTTCACTGTACACGCTGAGCTCCAGACTGACATCCACCCAACAAGGTATTTTGACATGTGGAGGAGGGGGGCGGATCCAGAGAAGCCAGGATGGGCTTGGACGTCTGGTGTCTCACCTATGGAATTTGGTGCTAGATCTGCTGACCACCAAGAATCTTTAATACAGTGTTCCTGCAATCCAAATTAAAGGTGCTGGGATGTACAAATTAAAGGTGCTGGGAAGTAGTGAGTCTGGAGCTCTGTATTTCCACATCCCACAAACTGGCTAAGGACTGATCCCTGTCTCTGAAGTCCCCCACATGGTCCTAGAGGTCAGGGGGATGCTACATTAGAATTCTGAAAATACTAGGGATGCACCGAAATTTCGGCCACAAGCATTTCAGCTGACAATGGTCCAATGATCTGGCACCCTGCCGGGAGAAAAGACGCTGTCAAGAGCAGCAAGAGTCAGCAAGGAGGAGCAGAGCTGTGGGAGGAGCAGAACAGTTCAGGATGGAGAACTGGGAGGATCAGCAAATATGTGAACAATTTGCTGATCCTTCCATGTATTGCTTCAATAACTGAGGATATAGTATTTAGTTACTGTGTCCCCAATTATGAATTAACAGGAAGTGCTCTACATCCCTTCCTGTTCATTCATGATTTTGGAGAGTTTATGAATTGACAGGAGCACTCGGTATAGAGACTTCCTGTTCATTCCTAACGGGGGCTGCAGGAAAAGAGATTGTGGACTCTGTGTCCTCAATCTCTGTTTCTATTTCAAAAGGGAAATATCAGGGGGTTTAGAACCCTAGTATTTCCCCAAAGCCCCTAACCGTAAAGTAAAAAAAATAAAACATTATTGAAATACAGTACATGCCTCCAATTTAACAATGACATGATTGTTGGTGCAAGACATTGTGATTTTAACACATCAGAAGCATTCAGCAGTTTTCTGAGAAACAATATGTTAATGCAAGGGGTGCAAGCCCACAGGCACTCGTATAACCACTCTCTACAAAAGTGGTGGGTAATAGGCAATTTCTAAATGTACCGCATGTTAAAACCTTAAACAGAAATGGGTTACAACATCAGAAAAACTTCAGGATCCACTTCTGTCAGCTAAGAACAGGGAAATGAGTCTACAGTGGACATTGGGGTCAACAAAACTGGTCAGTTAAACACAAACGAGTGGTCTTACAAAACTCAAATATTAAGGACAGAATTTGGTATGCAGAGCATGAACCCATGGATCTATCCTGTCTGGTCTCCGTTTTCCACACTGCTGATGGTGTAATAATTTAGTTTAGTCTTAGAAATGCCTAAGTACCCTAACAAAAAATGTATCTTATTTGTGTATCACTCAGCTGTAGAGCCTCCAATCCTCTCTGAATTGGTGATGACACTGTCCTTTCTCCTGGAGGACGGCTGCTTTTGGTCCCCATGGTCCCTGATTGTGTTGTTAAGTAGCCACCGCTCCAAGCTCGCTCCCGTGATGGACTATAATCTCAATACAAATTATAAAACTATACATAAGATTCAGTCCATCACGGGAGCGAGCTTTGAGCAGTGATTACTTTACAACACACACAAGGACCATTAAGAACAAAAGTAGCCACCCTCCAGAAGGAAGGACAGTGTCAGTACCAATTCAGAGATGATTTGAGGATCTACAGCAGAGTGATAGAGTGATACACAAATAAGATACATTTTTGTTAATTAGGGTACTTGAATGCATTTTTAAGATTTAACTCCTAAGTTTAGTGTTACTTTAATATGACTTTCGCATCAGTTTATAGACATGTAAGCTGTGGAAAAGTTTGTTTCGGATTTTTCGTTATTGGGGGATTCGGGTCTGAAATTCGGTTTGGGGTTTTGGATTCGGACGAACTCCGAATTTCCTTTTTAGGTTCGGATGAGTTCACAAACTAATATTCATTGCGACTACCACAGAAAACCGTGTACAGATATTAATACTTAAAAGCTGAAGCTCCTAGACCCGAATGGCATTCTGGAGTCCGAATTTCCAAATAGCATTCAGGAGCTCCAGCAAGCAATATATAATATTAAAGCTGAGGCTTCCAGACCCGAATGCTATTCAGCAATTCGGAATCCATTCGGGTCTTGGAGCATCAGCTTTATTATTATCTGATATACTTTAATAAGGAGGAACTCAGGTTGGGACTGAACCCTATTCAACCACACAAGCTACATATGCCTCCTACCCAATCAGCCGCGGGTCGGGGGCATTCCCAGCTGACGGTAAATAAATGGGCAGGATGTTTGTGCTGACATCATTTACCTTATAAAGCCACATAGCCATATTTGGTAAATGTAATTGATCTTATATAGCCATGTAGGCATATAAGGTCAATGACATCACTGCACCACACCCCACCCCGTTGCTTACATCAAGCTGAAGGCAGGAAATTCCCCACCTGCAGCTGACTGGGCTGCACAGACGGAGCCTCTGTGCATGTCCAGAAGGAGCTTCCTTTGGAGTGGGAGGAGCTTAGGTTTGAGCAGATTTGTATACTTTAACCCAATGTGTGCTTTTTAACCACTACTATATTACGGAAAATTGTATACTTACCTATCGGTAATTTTCCTTTCCAGACGCCAATACATGGCAGCATACAATGGGTATGGCTCCGCCCCCCACCCATTGTATGCTGCCATGGATTGGCGTCAGGAATACGGAAAATTGTATACTTACCTATCGGTAATTTTCCTTTCCTGATGCCAATACATGGCAGCATACAATGGGTGGGGGGCGGAGCCATACCCATTGTATGCTGCCATGTATTGGCGTCCGGAAACTGGCTTTTCAAAATAACACATGTGGCCATTTAGGTTTGGTGCACTAAAATGTTTTTCTTAAAAAAAAAATTTTCTATAGAAGTCTATACATCACACCAACAAATAAAAAACTGAGGAGGAAGGAGGGACAGAGTGATCTGGTTTCAAAAGAGAAAAAAAGCCCTACAAATGAGGAACAATTAGGATCTATAGTGCCAGGTATTATGTTTATTCAGCTAAAAGAGTGTTTTCATTCTTAAATGCTGATTTTAGTAAACAGTATAATATTAACAGATTCAGGACCGCCATATGTAAAAAACAGCGGCACCCTGAAACAGTTATACCAAGATCATGGCAAGATCTTGGTACCGTTTCAAACAGCCAGAGATGGCTGTTCACATACAATTGATCTGACAACTATAAAGCCACCCAATCTCTTGTAGAGTGTCGGGGAGTGTGCGCCCGCCAGGTTCCCCCCCTTTCCCCTTGGCTATTCTGGGCTTTGCTCTCCCCTATGCAGGCCCAGGAACGGCATGGTAAACCTATGTACATTGATAGAAGGAAGATTACCACACTTCCAGCGGCTGATCTCCCCTCAGATCACTGAACCCAGAAGCGGTGTGTGTTACATCATTACATCCCAGTTTCAGCTGCTGTAGCAGGAGAAGAAGCTGATGAAGTAGGTCTGTGCTTTATCAGCTTCTTTGGGGTCCTTAGTTGACATTAGGAGTGTCATAGACCCCTGATGTCTCCTTAAAGAGGACCTATCACATCCTCTTTGCTATTACATAGGGGGCTTGTTAACTTATAAACTTAATACAGTTAAGTATAAAACCATGGGGGGCGCATGCGCGCGGCGATCCGGAGAGGTCATGTTTTAGACCCGCTCCGTCCGCCTCCAACATAGCAGGGGAACCCGTGCCGCTCACCCCGGTCATACCGACTCGCCTACCGCATCGCTAGACGGAGGTGACGACAGGCATCACAGACATGTCCTCCGCCGGCCCCAGGCAGTAACAA